AACTTTTTCAATATTGGTTTTCTTTAAGATCTGCCGTTATTTTGAAGAAAATATCATTTCTCTTTTTATTAGTCGCTTTTTTTTGTTCTTTACACAGCGCAATGGTCCGCTTTTTAATTTCAAAATCTTAATTTTATTTTGAATAATTTAATATATTTTGTTTTTTTGCAATTTTCTTTTACTTGAATATTTAACCACTCGCAATAACGCAATATCACGCTGTCCTACCCAGCTGTCAGCTGTCTTTTCCGCTATTTCTCAAACCCAAGCAACAATTTAAATGCTGACTGCACCAAAATGTACACACAACCATATCCGCAACATAGAAATTCAGAACTGCGTACTTCCGTAATATTTCAACTGAGATAAACGAGGGAAAGCGTCCATATACACATACCCACATACCATAAAATACAATTTGAGTCAAAAATTTATGAATATTTGTATGCAGCTGAATGCTTGTCCCAAAATTGGCATTTCACTGGGCAAAGCAGTTTGACTGAGTTCTTCTTCTTATTTTGTGTTTTCCGACTTTCATATAATATTTAGTAATTTGTACGGAGTACATAAATATGTGTGCCGATGTGTCGATGTGTCGATGTATAGGCATTTTCTTACTCAAGTGTTGACTAAACACTTTGCTTCATTCACAGCACAGTTCAAGGTTGTGTTAGTCATTCGTATGAATAATTTAAACTTATTCACCGTTCATGTTGCAAAGAAGAAGAAAAAATGCTCCTATCGCTATTACTGCTTCGCTGCGTTAATGTGTGCAGCGTTGCCAAAGACGGTGCGGCTAGTTTATTTGGCAACGCAACTCGCATTTAGATTCAAACAAACAACTGCACACAAATATGTGCATTAAAGATGAGGAAATAAAAATTTAGCTTTTTTTACGTTCACACACACACATACATATATTATATGTTGGATTAGAAGAATTGCTCTACGCCTGGCAGGCGTTAACGACTTTCGCACTTAGCCAAGAGTGAGCTTAAATTCAGTAGCAGTTGGTCTACTGCCTGGCGACTTGAATAGTTTTATTCGTTACATTTTTTTGAGATTTATTTGTCGTGCTCGATATCATATTCAACTACTTTTTTTTTAAATACTCGTATATATCAGAGAGTTGAAAAAAAAAACAATTGTTGAAAAAAAGTTAACGTAATTTTTTTCCATTAAATTGAACAAATGCCAAAACTGATTTTCTTTGGAAAAATAGACACATGTATTCATATGAATAATAAAAAACTATATAAAATGCAGTGTGCGGATTATGGCTGTTTTTTTTTCTTTCAATTTCAAACTATTTTTTGTTTAATCTGGCCCTTTGGAATTTAAGTGGACTTTGCTTTTAATGCTGCATTTTCCATTACCTTTCGCACATCACGTCCACTCTAATGATGATTTCGGCACGAATGTTGGTCTAAAGCTGATGATGGCTAAATTTGTACTAAACTGACATGTCGATGTCAACCGCTTGGAAAAATTATTCAAAAAAAGGGGCAGTTTGTAGCAGTATTAGTAAATTGAAAAAAAGTTAAATTTTACAAAAACCCCAAAAGGCTAATAATAATAATACATTTTTGGGAAAAAACCTTTAATAGCTTTTTAATAAAAAAAGTGAAAACTTTTTAATTTGTATTTTTAAAAAGCAAAAAGTTTCACTTTTTTTGAACTACACCTATTCTAATTAAATTTCAAAAGTAGGAAACACAGCCAGAGGGCAATGCCTAAACCTTTAAACCTTTATCATATCAAATTAGTGATACTTAATTTTAGAATTACAAAAATGACTCATATCTAAAGAATTGGTTGCAGGGGGAATATACGATATAATTGTGATTTTGGTTATTTGCCTTTAAAGTTAATTTATCATGTTAAGTACATGGAAGGTATGAAAAAAGTGAGGAATTTCAGTTAATTTAATTGTATATCATAAATCTCTGAAATTTCTTTTTTTTTAAAAAATATTAAAAAAAATTATTGAATCTGAGAAAAACCAAAAGTTTTTTAGAGCTTAAATTTTTTTTATTCAAGGCAATTTTGGCAAAGGAGTTCTTAACAAACAGTCGGATAATTAAATGACTCCTGACATGGGAACGGGATTTCAGAAATACTAACTGAAATTTTTTATAAATTTTTTCTCTGAAAAATAGTGCATCTTGCCAAGACAATAAATAGTTATTTTTAATTGTTCAAAAGAATATTTCAAAAATTCAAATACTTAACATATATGTATTTATATTATTATTAATTTTTTTTTTTTGCCTTTTCTACATTTTTAATGTGAATCGCTTTTGACTAAAACTCTCAGCATATATGTACACTATTTATACTTTTAAAATATAATTTTTATTAATTTCCAATCGGTGTTTACGTGTGCTTTCCATTGAAGCTTGCTAATATATATATTTCTCAGCTCTCTATTTTCTTTACTAAATATGCATTTACAAACATACATTTATCAGCTAATTTTTCTTATTTCTCTATTTCAATTGCAATCAATTTCTTTACACAAAAAATTTATATATTCATTCACATAGAATTTTAGCCTGACTTTTTCCACTTTTTGTGTACATACTCAAATAATATGAAAATTTTTCAAAGAAATATTTTTAAAGTAAGAAATGGAATTTTCTCACTTACTCACCTAAATGTTACTTACTTATTTTATATGTAAATCTGTGTGTGTGTGTGAGTTGCCTATATGAAAAACAAGGCAATCTCAAAATAATGTCAGAAAATGCTGCGAAAATTTATAAACTCACAAGTGAAAGTACTTGAAAATTTAATGAGATAATTCAACTACTAACGAGACTTTGCCTGCGTATTTTGTTTTTGTTTGTTTATACACCTGCAAATGGTCGATCTTTTCTTCCTCTTCCGTTTCCGCTGTGCCATGCCGCCGCCGTCGCTGTGTGCCATCCATTTGCCAACTGTTGTGCTAAGCTGTCGTATCGTGTTTTTTTCTATATTATTTTTTTTTTCTTCTTTTTAAGCCAGCTATATGCCGTTACTGCCTGTCTCATGCGTACAACTGTTGACGGTTGTCAGTTGTCAGTTGGGCAGTGGCAGCATATGGCTAGGCCTACATATACACATATATTTGCATAGCTGAATGTAACAAATGCGCTGGACAGTAAAAAATACATGTATAAATTTTTGCATATAACGGTATATAATTACAAATATATTTTAGTCCAGTGCATTGTTTATTACAGCTGTTGGTTTTGATTGTACGCGCTGGAAGTTTGTGTGTTTCTATAAGGGTTAGCAGAAAATTATGCACAAATTTGGTGAATTTGTTGCCTACAATCGAGTACATACATATATACGTTTTTTGACAACCGCTCTGTATATTACTGAATTATTGCAGAAATATAATTTGAAAATATATTTTTAGGGGCAAATATAGAAAGCTGAAAAATTATTTAAATTACATTAAATAATTTAATTCCACCTCAAGCGAAAATAGTTTTCAAAATAAGAAACGATAAATAACTTATAAAAAAAAATAAAGTCACCGTTAAACAGTAAAAAAAAAGTAATTTATAGTAAAAAAAACAAGAGAAAAAATAATTATAAATAAAATAAAATTTAAGGCAGTAGTCTCCTTTTGAACCCGAAAAGAAACGTTTTTTTCCAGCATTTTTTTTTAAAGTGAAGGGAATCATTACTGGAAACGAAATTTTCAAACCATAACGTGCTTTATTTCAGCTTCAAGAAACAAGTTTTAGTATCAAAAAGTAATGGAATTTCCCAAGATGGTGATGAGTTTCGTGAAGCGTCAGCAGTCTGAACTTGTGAAACGGTGCCGGTAATGCAGGTCGTGCTATGCATATGAAACAGTCGAACCAATTTTTTTTTTTCAATTTTTATGCGTGCCTTTTCTATAGGAACTAAAAAAATACCGAAAATGTTTTGTAAAATTTCAAGATTTTTCAAAAAAAATCACTTTTTTGAAAAATAAATTCACTTCAATAGCAAAAAAAAAATATTTCAAATAATTTTTTGTAAAAATTATAGTTCAAATATAAGATAACTACAATAAATAATGAAGCTGTACCACTTTGATTTTTTTCGATCGGACATACTCGCATAATATTTTTGCTTTAACCAGCAACGTTTTCTAAATAAATAAAATTGAAACAAAACCGCTCACCGCTCAGCCGCTAAAACGGCGCTTTGCAGACTTTTTTGAAGCCTCCAAAGCAGACTATTACCTTAAAAAGTTGAAATTTTGTTTTCTTAAACAGTAAAAGCATACTAATAAAATTTCGTGGAGTTGGCAACGCCATACCCTAAGAAAGAGTTGTGCGTTTAATATTATTCTTACATTGATAGCATTAAACGTACTTAAATTTTCTAAAACTTGTAACGACAAATTAAACAAATTAAATTTGAAAACACAGTCAAAATCAGAGATATAAAATTTATAAAACAAAAAAGTTTAAATAAATTTGAAATACGTATCAATATTTAAGCCATCAAAGTGCAAAATAGTATTTAAAATATACCCACACACATCCGCGCCACAATCACAGCCAACGTGTACAGCATTTGTCGAATACAAAATCGAATTTATTTTTTCTTCCTACAACTGTCGCCAAAAAAAAAGAAATTAGCAAATAAATTTATTTTATGAATATGGAAAAAGTGCAATAATTTAATTAATATTATTGTTATTATTATTAAATTTACAATTATCATTATTATATAAATTAGTTAACAAAATTATTAAAATTATAGCTAAAATTTCGATTATAATATTTTAGAAAACTCCCTTATCCCAAAAAAAAATAAAAAAATTAAATAATAATAATTTAAAATATGAGTAGTTTTACATGTATTTATATTATTTTACCCACCACCAAAGCGTAACCTTACCCTCCTTTTACTCCCCACCAAAATACGCTTTAACGCTACCAATCAAAAATCAGAAAACCATTTAAGCCAGAATTTGCCACATTTTCGAACATTTCATTCAAATATTTCAGGCCAAATCTAAAATATCAATACTCAGCATTGGATAGTGGCAATGGTATTGTGGAGCGTAGTCCACGTGAGCGTGCACAACGTGAACGCGCACTCAACACACTGCAGGAATGGGTGCAGAATTCGAATGGTCGTTATGAGATAATCGCACATTTGGATGAGATTGGCTCGCGACATGGCAAGAATTGGTTTCTTGTCACCGATGCGACGGTAAGTGTGTCATAAACACACACACTAACACACAGACACACATACATCTGCATATATAAGTATGTAGAATGTGGTAATATTTACATTTTTACTATACCCATTCACAGGTGCGCACAGATCGTCTACTGACACTGTTGCCACTTCCACCGGACTGTGTCGCATTCGAAGATTTGCCTGCGAATGAGAATCCCAAACCAATGTTAATGGAATTGCTCGGCTCACTGCATCATCCATATATTTATCCGATATTGGATTTGGGTTTTCTACAGCTCGGCTCAAGCAATTTTGCCTGTCTGGTGACGCCATTCAATTCACGCGGCAGCTTAAAGGATTTAATTTATCGGGTAAGCTATGTATGTATTTACTTATGTATACATGAAAATACCATTTAGCATAACGTATACAACTTACATACATACATATTAACATTTGTACAACTGTCACATCCAGGTATTTGCCTACGAGCAGCACTCGTATACCTGTATGTACACGTATGTATATTCACCTACGTAAATACATGCAAATGGCTTTGGCCTCAAGTGTGCTTCGTTTATTTTAGTCCGCTTTGCAGCAATTATTTACCTTTTTTCCACATTTGCCACACTGTTTTCTTTGGCATTTTACTCATACTATTTTTTGACTGTGTGTACTCGTGTGCATGTGTGAATTTTTTTTTTCTCAAATCCACTTTAATTGCATACTTTCAGACGCAATGGAACGAGCCATGGGCACGCAAATACACACGCAAGCCGAATGGTCTGCCCGTCTCACAAGTGCAACGGCTGGGTCGACAAATCTTGGAGGCGTTGCTGTTTCTGAAAGAACGCGGCTTCCCACTACACGGACATTTGCATAGCGGAAATGTGATTTTACAAAATGGCGCCGCCAGGTGGGTACACACTTTAGGAAAATGAATTAATTGCTCTCATATGGCTGCTTTCACATATGAATGGTAGGTGAAGTATGAAAATAAAAAGAAAAAATGTAAATTTAAAAATTAATATTTCACTGGACAAAAAGCGTGTTGGCAATACTTATTAAAGCTTAGTTAAATTATCATTGGCAAGTAGATAATTGAGTGTGTGGATATTATTAAACGCAAGAATATGCGATTATAATGAATTTTATGAAAATCATTTCATTTTTTGAAATCATAAATATGTGACAAACTTAAAACAACTCAAATCAGTTCGGACTTGCTAAAGATTTTCTGAAGAAAACCCTTAAAGAATTTTCGAAGATTGACTAAAATTTTGTACGACCCCTCAAAGTTGTCATGTCCCAGTGTAAGCTATTCAAAAAAAATTGGCCGTGCCACAGTAAGGAGGCTTCAGATGGCATATCACGCACCGTTGCAATCAACCTCAAAACGTGGGGGTAAGATATATACCGAGAATTGAAGAATTTAAAAACAACAAAAAGAAATGAAAGAAATATGTATAAAAAGAAGTGCTTGATGAGCTAGCCTACAATAATAATGCTCAAATATTTTACTCAAAGAAAATTTCAACACCGTTGTATACTTTTGTCGGAGCCAAAGAGATTATCTAGTAGCTAACGCCCAAAAAAAATGAACTTATGGAGGAAATACAACACTTCTGTTGTTCCCTTGATTGACTATGAAGAGTAGCGGTTTTCCGGCTGAAAATCAAAAAAGCGGCAGGGGCCCTTAGATACTGATAAGCCTCCTCAATATCACATATATGAGAGGCCATCAATAAGCTGATTGGACCTGTCTATTTAAAATTGGTAAATTAACCATCGACCATTCACCCTACCAATATTCACTATTCATCAAGTCTTGAGGAAAGACTACTGATTCCATAACAGCTTTCGACAGGACGACCATGTAAACTGACGAGATACAAGTCGTCAAGCCGTATTGGGAAGACATAAATTTTATTAGATTGTACAACTGCTGGCCTACGCCAATTATATCTGATACTGAACTTAGGCAACACGAAATATCTCCTGCCACAAAAGGACAAGTTATCACCTTCGAAAATCGGTTCGCCAATCGATCGTAGACAACCTCGTCTGTATTGAACCCTGCATTAACACCGCAAATAATGTCAGCCTTTCACTCCACTGAAGTATCACTCTTGCCAACAGGTGCCACAATGGACTGAGCAGGCGATTGAAAAGTAAAGTCGAAAAGTCTCTCAACGAACAAAGATCAAACTCTACAAGTCGCTCATCATTCCCATTCTGCTGTATGATGGGGAGGAATGAACAATGAGGTTTTCGATAAGTTTTATGATCCACTGCTTATAGACGATGGCAAGTGCCTGAGCTGTGCAAGATATACAGCGGCAACAAAATAGTTTAACGAATCAAAAGACAACTGCTACACTGGCTAGCTCATGTAGTGCGGATGGATAAGAATGCTTCAGCCTTGAAAATATTCGAACTTTTCCATGGTCCCTCAAAGTCTTCATGTCCTGGTGTTTCGTTATTTAAAAAAATATTAAAATATTCTTCGAAATCATTTCTGGAATTAATTTATTGTATGACTGTTACAACAATTTATGTAACAGTCATACAATAAATTAATTCCAGAAATGATTTCGAAGAATATTTTAAAACAGGTAGAAAGGACGGCTCTCTTGTCCTTTTGAGTTTTCCCAGAGCAAAACCAGTGTAGAATGCAGTTGGGGGCTTAAAATAGTTAAAATATTCCAGAAAATTATTATTATACGTAAAATTTTACAATGGATCTTCTCACACAAAAACACTAAAGTGCATTGAAGCACTACGCCTATAGATATGCAACATTTTTCCTTTTACTTTATTTACTGCAGTTTTTCTTTTCAATTTGAAGAAATTGTAAACAAAATTCCAGCTTAATATTTGAGTTGTGATCTTATCTTATAACTTGTGCGTTAAGTTTGCGAAGTAAATGGAAAATTAAAACTGAATTAGACATTTTTTTCATAAAAAAATATCGCGTACTCTACATATGAATCACGCAAATTCTTGTTCTCTCAAAAATATTTAATGCAATATTTTCAAAAAATTTATTTAAAAAAAGCATTTTTGAGCTTTTCTTCATACATTTTTTAAACACGTTCGATTTGATAAATCTGTTAATATCAAATTATAAATATATTGTAATTTTGTCACTGAAGTCACCCTGTCAACTGAATACCGGTGCACTCTTATGTACCGCCACTTAGTGTGTCATAAAAGTAGGTTAAGCCGCTTCAAACTGCTACAAACGAAAACTAAATAAAAATACAATTCAAACTAAATGCAAACTAATTTTTCAAGCACAACTATGAATATGCATATTTATTTAATTTGCTTAAGGTTTTTGGTTTTTTCTTTTTTGTAGCTTCTAAACTGCATTTTGCCACTTTACTACCGAAAAACCCTTCATAACGAGTAAAAAAGTGAAAAAGTATACCGAAAAGTAATGAAAAAGAATTTCCCTAATCTCTGTTTATTTTCAACTCATTGCATATTCATAAAAACGAGGTAAATTTCATAACAAATGCTGTGTTTGTTAGTTAAAAGTGATTTAAAAAAACTATAACTCATTTAACGACGCTCGCTTGGTAGCATTTTAATTAACGTTAACCAGATAAACAACTGAATTTTAACAAAATAATAAAATTCTTAGTATATAAATGTGTTAGAGGAAGGAATTTACTTATTCACATTTTTGGCTAATTTTTACAAATTTACAACGCCCAACCAACTGCTTTTATTTAGTTTCTTAAATTTCAAATTTTTCCCCAATACTTTCATAAAAAAGATTACAATTGACATGTTAAGTTATGTTAAATTCAGTGAAATTTTACAATATCGTTAATCCATATCTGCTTTGCAAACGCCTCAACTGTCTATATACTCATATAGACAAAAATCTCATGTTCTTTAGTGTAGTCAAATTATTTCTGTGCCTTCTGAAAAGGTTCATACGAAAAAAAAATGTTTTTGGGAAGTGGACCAGGCACTGACTTTTCAAAAAAAAATTTTATTCGATTTACCTGAAATTCGGTTAGTAGCTGGTTTTTTGCTTAGATTAACAGGAAGACTACTCTGCTCTCCGGGAAGTGGATCAGGGACCGAGCTATTGTGTTTCCTAGAAATGGATCAGAGATGTCGAACCAAATTCAATTTGCTCGAAATATAAATAATAAATCACTTACAGATTGATTGTAAACTGGTATAATTTAGATACAAGATTAGAAAGTATGTTCCCTTTTGGTACTATATAAAAAGTCTAGTTCGGATTGGCATTTTCATGAAAGTTTTTGAGCAACGCAGAAATCTTAAGTTGGTTTGTAAAAACCGCATCCCTGGAAGAGATACCGACCGATTAAAATTTTCCATCACAACACTGCCTGCCATACCTCGGTCAACGCTAGTGGTTGAGTTCAATGCTTGCTTAAAAAACTCTTCGTTGTGAAGGCATGTACAAAACCTGCAATGAGAACTAAATGCGAATTGATCAGACTTTAGGACGAATTATATTACTCCATAAATTTTGTAATTTAGTTGACGTCAAAAGAAAAATGCATTCCCGAAGTATTTCCAAATGTCCAAATCAATGGATGCGGATTATGGAGAGCTGAGTGGGTAAGCCATCCTCGCTGCAACTAACTAAGACATTGAAAGCGAATCTGTCACTAGTAAGTCAGTAGAAACCGTTGTGGAAGCAGTGCAGTCAATTCTCCAATAGAGTTTTTCAATTCTTCGGCCTTAGCGTGGGTCTTACCACACATATTAAGTTTGAAAGACTTCATTATTCTTCGAGTCCCTACCATTACTTCCAATACTCCAAGTTTCAATTCAAGGAAATACAGTTCTCCGTTCGACTAGCATTTGCAATCACTATCAACAAACCTCAGGGTCAATGTTTGGTATTGTGTGGTCTGCATTTAAATACGGATGCTTCTCACAAGGGCAATTGTTTGTTGCATGTTCTAGCATTGGCAAACAAGATAATCTTTTTATTTGCACGGCCGATGCTAATTTTTATATACCTACAGGTATTGAGTAAAAAATAATTATGATACAAATATATCTGCCTCTATGTATATATGCGGCGAAAAAATACTTTTACAAGAAAAATTTTGCAAGAAAAGTTAAATAAAATATGCTTGCTTACTTACTTACTTCACTGGCGTAGATACCGCATACGCGATTATGGCCAAGTTAACAACATAGCGCGATTCTTTTTGCTGTTTGGCGCCGATCGGAAATACCCAGTACAGCCAGGTCCTTCTCTACCTGGTCTTTCCAATTCGTATCCATCTGGACCACATGGCCTAGCTAGCGAAGCCGCTGATTGTTGATTCGCTGAACTAAATCAATGTCGACGTATAACATCTACAGCTCATCTTTCCTTCGTCTACGATATTCGCCGTTGCCAATGCGCTAAGGATCATGAATCTTACGCATAACTTTTCCCTGGAAAACTCCTAACGCCGACTGATCAGATGTAGTCATCGTCCATGCTTCTGCACCATATAGCAGGACGAAAACAATGAGGGTCTCGTAGAGTTTGGTTTGCATTCGTCGGGAGAGGACTTTACTTTTCAATTGCCAATTCAGTCCAAAGTAGCATCTGTTGGCAAGAGTTATTCTGCCGTGGATCTCAATCCTGACATTATTGTTGGTATTGATGCTGGTTTTTAGATAGACGAAATTATCAGCGACTTCAAAGTTATGACTGTCAAATGTCAATGATGATTTTTGAGCGCATAAATAAATAGTAAAAGCTTAGTCATAGCAGCTTATGGAAAGTATTATAAATATATTCATTTGTGACAAAAGTACTAAGACAATTTTTGCACTTGAGAATTAAAAAAAGTCGCAATAATACTATGTAATTTATGTATATTTGATATAATATTTTGTGCTTTTAAACTCATTCCATTTATGGCGCTTTAGCCATGTACATATACATATGCATTTATGCATCGCGTTTACTTTGCCTTCAAGGTAATCCTTTGAACTTTATTTATGCTTTATCAGCAGTGCCAGCTGAAAGAAAAAATAAAATTAAAATAAAACTAAAAATAAAAATAAAAAATGTCTTTTCTTTTAAATCCACAAATGGTATGAAAATATAGTATATATATATATATATATATATATATATATTACATATATATGTGCACAAAGTAATGGAGTATACACACACATATTCATATAATATATATGTATGTAAACAAGTGAATAAGTTTAGCAACCGTAGGCCACTTGAAATTAATATACAGTTTGCCATTCAAAGAGAAACTTGCAATTGCTATTTTTACTTTCTTTATCCATTTTTCCAATGAGCGTAACCTAGAGTTGCTACCATAGCTGAACAGCTTTAGATTCAAATTTATTGTATTTATGTGTGTGCATATATGTATATATTTATTTTTATACAATACTATTTGGAGAACTACCATGGAGATGGCTGGGCGTATGAGTAACATTTTTTTTGTTCTGCATTCTTCGTCCAATCATCTAAATTATGAAATGTTTTGATGATCTTATGGACATGTCAGCCATTTTTACATTATTTAGAGAACTTTGGCACTAGCTATACGCTTCTCAGAAGAGAAAATTATCCTCGGGTACAAATATTTTATGCCAGGCAGCGAACACATTTAGTCCCTTCTAATCGTTTTTTTTTATAATTTCACTGCAATACATATCATATTGATATTTCATTTCCCCCTAGATTATCCGGCCTAGAGAACGGTCTACTTGGTTTAAGTTCTCGCATCAACGCTGTTATGTGGTCACGTTCGACAACGGAAATTGAAAATGTTGATATCATTTGTTTCGGTCATTTGCTATATGAAATGTGTACCGGTCAAGAGATGACCACACCTAAACCGTCCATGCGGGTGCTCGAAATGGAGTTGGAGCACTTCCCACAGGTGAATAGAATATTTTCGTTTAATAATATTAAGCGCACGGTAAAATAAATATGTATATTAAGAAGGCAAGACTTGTTTTTATCTACTAGACACATATATTCATTTTAAATGTGTGAATTTTTCCACTTAAAGCAAAGAATTTTTTTTCCAATATTATGTCTACGTCTTTCAAATAAAACTCTTAAAATGCAAACAACTATGAAAATTAATATAGAAACAGTAATTAAATTTTTTTTAGAAATATTCGTATTTTTTCTTAATTTTTAATTTAAAACTTAATGAAATATATTTATGTGTTTTCCTTTATTTCTAATTATTCACAAACACGCTTAGATTTTAGATGTACTTGGCTTAATATTCGAACCGCCCAGCGGTGTATGCCCCTCCGTCGAAGACTTAGTCTTATGTGATCTCTTCAGAAGCATCGATTTACGTGAACTTCGTGGCCCCTGCTTTAGCGTAAGTAAATGAAAAAGTAAATATTAATATTAATAAAAATAACAAAGAAAATTAAAATCAAAATCAAAATCAAAATCAAAATCAAAATCAAAATCAAAATCAAAATCAAAATCAAAATCAAAATCAAAATCAAAATCAAAATCAAAATCAAAATCAAAATCAAAATCAAAATAAAAATAAAAATAAAAATAAAAATAAAAATAATAATAAAAATGAAAATAAAAATAAAAATAAAGATAAAAATAAAAATAAAAATAAAAATAAAAATAAAAATAAAAATAAAAATACAAATAAAAATAAAAATAAAAATAAAAATCAAAATCAAAATAAAAATAAAAATAAAGATATAAAAACAAAAATTTAAATTAAGGCGAATAAGAATACGAACAAAAAAAAGCAATTCAAAATTGAAATTAAAATTAAAATATAAAACTAAAATAAAAGGAAAAATTAAAAAGTAAAAAATAACAATGAAAACAATATTATAGCTAAAAAATAAAACCAAAATTAAAATAAAAATTTAAAAATAAAAATATGATACAAGTATAAACAAAAAATAGAAACAAAAGTAAAAATAAAAAATATTAACCGAAATAGACATAGAAATAGAAGTGGTTATAAAAAAAAAATTAAAAATGAAAATATAAAAAAGGTAAAATAAAAGCAAAAGTAGAATTTAAAAAAAATAATAATAATATATTATATAATAAAATATATAAAATAAAATAAAATATAAAAAAAGAAACATAGAAAAGTAAAAGGAAAAAGTTTAAATAAAACCTAAATGAAAATAAAAATAAAGGTAAAAATCAACATGAAGGTTGAAAATAAATAAGAAATTAGAAATTAAAAATTAAAATTTAAATAAAAACGTAAATAAAATTAAAAGTTAGTATTATAATAAATATAAATATAAAAAATACAAATAATTTGCATTTAATAAAAATATTCTTGATACTACATGCAGACAATCAAGCCGAGCCTCAGCAGATCGACACTTAACTTATTATACGCAGTTAAGAAACGACAATGTGCATCGCTCGGCAATTCACTTAGCGAAATGAGCTCACCAAGCACACCGCCATCAACACCGCGCGATGGACGACGTGGGTAAGTTTAAAAAAAAAAAAGTAGACTTAAACACAAACACTCAACAATGACACAAATAATAATAATAAATACTTTAGGATATTATAGAAATAAATATTTTCATCACTAAAATATAAAAAAAGACAACAAATTAAGTATATAAAAGTTAAAAGGTAACATACACATTGTATCTAACCGCCATTTACCACATTTAATATTGATCAATAACCAATCACACAACTATTTACTAATCCACTAATAAAAAATTCTCATACTTCAAGCACTTTCATTAATAAAAAAAAAACTGTAATGTCATTGTTAGCTGTGTGCTGAAGTTTCTTGTTGCATCTTTATTCTTTCTATTCCATCTATTACCACTCATAATTCACCTGCGCCACTAGTTTCTCAGTTCGACATACTCGCCCGTCCAATACTGTGAGTCGGATTGTGTGTATGTGTGTGTGTGTGTAGTCGTCATCGTCATTGTCGTCGTCATCATTGTTATTACCTACTCTATTTCAGCAACTTTCATACACCTCGTCAGAATAACATTTTCATTACTTCTTCTTTATACTCAACTCTTTGTATTTTGTCTATGTGAAGTTCTTTGTTTTCTTCTTTGTTGCCGTTTCTTGATTAAATTCATGAAGCTCCAGTAAACAAAGTGTCAGCCGTAGTGAGTTTTGATGTTCAATCACGAACTCAATTATATGAAAGTATGCGAAAGTACCGATATTTAATTAATATTAATGTTGTTAATTAAAAAAATGCTTTGGAAGTGATGTTTGCTAAAATTAGCAGGAAATTGGCCATGTAATTTTAGCATTTTTAAATAGCAGTTAAAGACATACTTTGCGTTACTGTTGAGCAGACTTTCTGCCAAATTGAGAATTCACAATCAAGGGGTATGTCTTTGATAGAATATTTGTCTATGCGCCTGAATGTAGGTAACAGATGTTTTTTATTTCATTAGTATAAAGCTACTTTATGGATTACTGGAAATTGAATTGAGCAAATCGAAATCTGAAGCCTTAGTCTAAATGAATTTTTAATCATAAATTTAAAAGAGATTTTTTTTTCGGAGCAGGAGAACTATGTGATTGTTTTTATACTAGACCCTAGTCTTAACTTTTCATATGTAAAAACTCAGTAATGGACGATTTACGAACTCAATAAAGTGAGAGTGCGTGTCTTCGATAGAATATTTTAAAGTGAGAGTGTGTGTCTTCGATAGAATATTTTTCTATGTGCCTGAATGTAGGCAACAAATTTTTATTATTTCTTTACTACATTATGTATGAATGAAAAAAAATTGGGGACTAGCTGCAAATGTATTTTTAATGAAATTTCTAACCAACAATTTGTTTAAAAAGTACAAATATTCAATCACTTTTTTAAAATCGAAAGACGACACATATTTAGTTTCAATATCAAAAAATTAACTCAAAGATTTTGCGAATAAATCTACGATTGAGGCTATCTTACTTTACGTACATCTATTATATCGCATTTTTCATCTTCCTCACTCGATTTCGACACTCCGTTTACTGGTAAGCGCTCAAAGCCCAAAATATAGTTCTAAAATATTTTTAAATTAATTAAAAAACCAATTAATAACTAATTAAATAGCTGTACGCGAGCATGTTTATGTATTTATTTGTGTACATTGTTTTAAACTTTAATACTGTTTAAACTTTTATTAACTGTTTGTTATGATTAGATAATTAATCTTGCTTAAATACAAAAGACCCTAAATACACTAACATTGATATTGAAATTGAATTTAGTGAAAACATTTATTAATTAATATTTAATTTTTGACTAACTCCAAACTTTTTATAGTTTAATTATTAAATTTTTTCAATTCAACCTTTACTCTTTGCGTAATTTTAGCATTAAAATTTAATATCTTTTTTCCATTATATTTTGAATTGTTATATTTACTTGATTTTTCGCCATCCAATTTCACCTTTGTTCAAACATAATTGTCATATTTTACAATTAATTCAGTTACGTATTTATATGTTACCAAAGTATATATATATATGTATATATGTATGTATACAGTGTTCTAACTGCGCCCTATGAAGTCTTTCGTATGTACTCGTAATAACATTTTTAGTAATGCATACAAATAAAACAAAACCATATATGCTACTACTAGTACTACTACTTGTACATCTACTAAATAGTAATGGATGCAAAAAATTATACTAAATTGCCTATTTTGCGGTTTTGTTTACCACAATCAAATTATAAACTGGATACAGTACCTACTCGTACCTTCATAACAACTGACAAAACAACCCAACAGCCTATGTACCTCCACCTACCTACTACTAATTATGTAAATCTTCTACTACTACTTCTACTACTACTACTACTACTACTACTACTACTACATAAAAAAATTATGTGCAAAAATTAATGAAAAGTGGTAAGTGTGATTTATTTTAACTATTATTAATAATTTAATTTCATAATCAAACAAAGCAAAAAAAAAAAAAAATAACAAAATTTACATAAATAAAAATTAATCGAAAAACTATCGCTACAACACCAAAAACAAACAAAACCACACAATAAACAAAATTTTAAATGCAAAATAAATTCAGAGCAACAAACAATTGCAGTCCGTGTGTAAAAACAAAGTAGTAAAGTATAGTGAAACGAATTGTTTTTCTTTGATTGTTTACTGTGTTTATATGTTGTTTGCCATGTTTTTGTCTACAGAAAATTTATTTCAGTTGAATTTTTGCGTATGTATGTATTTATGTATATGTTGCAGCCCAAAATATTTCGTTCTATATACCAGGTTATCTATTTAGCGGTTTCGTATATCAACGTAAACGAAAAGCATTTAAAATAATTTTTCTTCAGGAAATTCCATTTTCCATTGTATAAACCTTGACATTATATTGGTAAAGTAAAAAGTTCGTTCGGTTTTTTATTGATTTTTATAAATATGATAACTTTGTGTACATTTGTCCGACTGTAAATTTGTTGACAAGGAGATGCCAACTTCATTATATCCCTCTCGTTGAAGGCTGCGTCCCTATTGGCAAAAAAACTCGGAGAGTCAATTTTCACAGGCCTCTCTTGAGTCCCACTTCTCGCCATTAAGCGCGTTCGCCATGAACAGGAAAAGATGGTAATCACTTGCTGCAAGGTCCGGACTATGAGGCGGATGCTTTGGGTCCTCCCATGCGAGCTCCTGGAGCTTCTGGCCCGTCACCGAAGACGTGCGTTGTCCAGATGGAACACAGTTCGTCCTCTGTTCATCAAAGATAGTCTCTTCTGTATGAGTGGTGCCTTCAAGCGGTCCATTTGTTGGCAGTAGAAAGCCGAATTGAGTGTTTGACCTTAGGGAAACAGCTCGTAGTAGATGATTCCTTGCCAATCCCACCAAATACACAGCAAAATTTTCTTGGCCGTCAATCCGGTCTCGGCTATCGTTTGTGCTCGATGTTGTCGTAAGTGACCACCTTTTAATCGCCAGTCACAGTCCGCTTCAGAAACTGGTCGATTTTAGCGCGAATAAATACGTTTTCCGCGCTGCATAGTAAGACATGATTCGACACGTAACACTAGTAATATGAACAATAACGCCATCTCTTAGATAAAAACCGAACGAACTTTTTACTTTACCTAATATTTAGCACTTATTTTTTGAAACAACGTCTAATTGGTATTCTTTAATTGCAATTGTAAAAGTCAGTTAGAAGTTAGCCTACGAATTGACAGTGACAGTCTCGTCGTTATCGTTTTCAAAAAAAAAAAGGATGTCCAACCCCGCCTCCGGATCGAAGAGCGCACCAACCACTAACCCTTTTTTTGGATGTAATAGCCTCTTTTTAACAATCTGAGGCTTATCTAGGCCTCAAATGCGACTATTTTGCTTAGTTGCGTATCCCCCGAGTGAGAAAAGTACCGCTGAAAAATTGTATACGAAAAATCACCGTCAAGCACCCAATCATCATATGTACAGTCAGCTGGCTTCAGTTATTGTGTAAGCTGGACTTTATTAGAATGTACCAGCTCTTGATAACGTCCATATTGGGGTTTTCGTCTACACTTTCAATTAGAGTAGAAGACGCAGAGGCCTTATAATGTCTGTTGCCGAACCAAGTCTCTTCAAATTTCTTTAAAATCATAAAAATTGCTTGAGTTGTTGGACAATCTCCTCTGAAAGCAAGACACATGGTCACGTTTGAATCACCTTTTATGTAGTAGGTTTTAACTTTATCGCGTTCTGTTTTTGTTAGCGATCCATTTTCATATATACCTAACTGTTTTCTAAAACAAAAAGTGTTTGGTTTAACAGAAAATAAAATAGAGCGCAATACTTTTCAAACCACGAAATAGATAACCCTGTATATTGCAGTCCAAAAACAATTGTTGTATGTTTATGTTCCATGGAAGACTCGTTTTTATTTTGCTTATAAATTCTGCTTATCTTATGTATGATGTAATCTAAACACCGTTAACTGATATTGTTATTTTTTTTTTTTTGTTGTACTGTTGTGGTGTACTGCATGCATTTCCCATTGTCGCTTACGTAGTAAAAAAATTTGTAAATATTAAAATTGTTTTTAGTTTTATTTTTGTATCCTAACTATTGAATTTTTGTAAAAATGCTCATCTTCAGATGAGAAGTGCTAGATCTCGCCTTAGCTGAACTTAAGATACACGGCGTTTTCAGTAATGATCAGATACTTTAAGCAACCGTTGTCCGAAATTTACTTGGCAAAACTCAAACTCACTGCCTGGTAGCTTACACTGGGAGTCAATTTTAACTAACAATGTTGCTGTGGAATAATATGCACAGCCGAGTCGACAGCAAGACTAGGGAAAACGCTATCCAGGCGAATCACAAATCAAATAATTTTAAAAACTGACACCGGTTCAACAGTAAGGAATCACTGGAAATAGTATTTCTCGCCCATTTTCCTTCAACTATGTGAGAGCGAAATATCGTGTGGGCGAGAACCACTAGAGCAGAGCAGATAGAAAGCTTAGGCAGGTATAGGGATCCAAATAATATTTTCGAATTATAAATCAACGGCTGTGTTTCGAAAAGCCGTTGACAGAGTTGCAAAATTCTTAAGCAAACTCTCCGAAGCTTGTACTAGGGAAAGCTTCGTCTTCAAGGCGGACGACAAGAGTACCCAAAGTATGTCTGTACTCAAACAACTATCGCCCGATGAATTTAACTTTTAATTGATAGATGATCACATCAAGGTCTACCCTCAAAAGCATACCATGCCTACGTAAATGGTAAATCGGTGGACGCAGCATTAGATAATGTTAAATTAAAGGTAGTATCGGTTCCCGAAAAAGCGACATGCTTTGGACATATTCCTCGACTAACTGTAGCTTTCAAAAACATTTTTAAATGGGTTAGACTCTACAGGAGTCAACGCTGTCCTTAGGGACTGGATATATGTCTTGGTATGTTGCAGGAAGATCAAATCGCAATGGTATACGTGGTGTCGGCTAGACCTAAAGTTAAAGTTGAAACCTAGCACTGAGTACCTGGGATTTGTGCAAGTTGTCGTGGGGAGTGCAGAAGGTATCAGCGCCCCTGCTATCTCTCGATGAATCTGCCTTGCGATTGTTAAGCCTATACTTTTCTAAGGCACTTTGGAAGGTTACGAATAAGATAACATAGCTGGATAGGCTGTAATGGGTCTTCAGACTTTCAATGACCAGCAACACATGGCAGACCCGACGGGTCTTTAAATGGTAAGCGTAGCGACCAATTGACATCACCGTTTCGGATGCGATAATGCGATTTTCGAACACAATGTGCCATTGGTCGATTGTAACTTTGATTATATGGCACGTTACGCCGTCCTGTTGCAATCTTGAAACCACACATTGTCTATGACATTCTCTTAACGGCGTTTGCAACGAAAGTTTTAAACTACAACACTAATATTTTAGGCTCGGATCCAAAATTGATAACAAAGTAGGAAAATAGATCTCAGGCAGCCTTTCAAGCTTGCTGCAGTATCTTTGGGGTGAAAGACTTTGCGGTTGAATAAGCACATGAGACAGCTAACAATGTAGAAAACTACATAAAATATATCAATATATACGTCATTTACCAAGACACAATTAAGGAATGCCCTGCTAGACATGGTGACTGCGAGAAAATGATTTCATAAAAATTGGAAAATTCTGGAAAACAAAATAGTTGTTGAAAAAATGAAATATGCCTACCGTCTCACTATCGAACCGAACAGTACGTAAAATACGCAAGTCCCGAAGCGACTGACAGGCAGATTAGCATGACATGGAAAGTCTTAATTGCACGAACCGAATGGTCATAGGTAAAGATGGCACATGCAGAAAGGGCAGCGAAGAAGATATGAGTGAGACGCTGGAACATCTATTCTGCTTCTTTCCAGCCTGACATGGAACTGGTCTTAGATATCTAGGAGCTACACAACTCGTATGACTTGATGAAATATCACGATAGAGAGATGTACGAACTCTCTTAAGCTTCACAAAAAGCGTTGACGTCTTAAATGAGGTCTAGGTATAACCTAACCTAACCTAACCAGACTTTGATATTTCTTCAACAAAATGGATAGCTAAAAGTTATTTTTTCTTTTCCCGATCGACTGATATGACACCTGGAGCTGTTGACACTCCCTGCTGCAGGACGACCGTCTTGTGTTTTTAGACTTTGGTCTTTGCTATTGTCCGATTTCTGGCGTTATCGCAGCCAGCTTCGTTTGTCTAAGAGATGGGTGTAGTCAAGTCAGTTAGACAGTAAGACGTATGGTCCCACAGTTATGATAAAATTATTGTTTTCACCCCACATATTGCATAATGTTTACCTCTCGCGTGTACAGTCGTGTGTAAATATTTGCATATACATCATAAGAAAAATTCTCACATCTTTGCTATTATTTTCACTTTGCGGCTTGCTTTAGCATATTTTTACTTTGCTTGCTTAGTCGCATTGGCGCATCACATTTTCCATTTTCTACTTTCGATGTTCTCACTCACAAACTCACAAACTCAACGCCAACATACACCATCTACTACTCATGCAATTTCGAGCGAGTGAATCAAATAAAAAGCTTATTCTATTGCTATGTACACCATTGTATGTTTTCTTAAGCGAAATCAAGTGAGATTCATTCAATTTTATATGTATGTATTTTTCCTTTCTACATTGCACCGCCTTAATCGTTGGGCCAAACAAAAAACAACAAAACAATGTACACTATAATCGAAAAACTTAAACAAACTGACAGCTTTAGTCGAACAATGGACTCATTCGACATATCCAGCGACTCAGAGGAAGGCCTACTTGATGAAATTCTTGTCGATGGCAGTTATCAACAGCAGCGCTTGCAGCAGCTGCAGCGCATGCAAAACTACCATCAACGTCAGCATCACTCTTATCCGCAGCACTACTACGGCCAGTTTAGCGCATTTTCACAACAACAGCAACACAACCATCACCAGCATCAGTATCAGCAGCAGCAGCAGCAGCAGTACACCGAACGTCATCACTTTAGTCAAAATAAACAATTGGAGTATGACGCAATTGAGTCATCACCCCTGCACTATTGTGAAAACACCACCACCCAATCGGATGACAATATCTATAGTACACAAGAGAGCCAAAAGTCAATACAACAATCGCAACAACAACAACAATTACAACAAAAGCAAATAGAGTCACCAACACTTAGCATTACACCCAAGGCACCGCCACCGCCACCACCACTACCACTACCACTACCGCTACCAACAATACGTTGCAGCTCCAGTAACAATTTGAATGCACCAACATTGGGTTCAAGTGTTGGTCGGTCAACGGGAAGTAGCACAAGTATTACTTCAACAACCGGTGATGGTGTCGCTGCTGCCTCCACTTCAGCGTCTGCTACTGCTGCCTCGGCGCCTGCTACGTTTATTTTGCAAGAAGATAACAACGACACTGGCGAAAAGACAATACAGTCAGGTCAATTGGAGCTTGAAGGCGATCAGAGTACATCAAACAATGACAGTCCGGCTAGTAGTGATTCATCAGCACACCAGATTGACTCAAATAGCCAAAGTTATGTGAACGACGATGTAAAGGCGTCAACATCAGCAGCTGCTGCCGCGGCCGCAGCGAATGGGACACAGGTCGGCGGTTCGTTTAACCATCAGCTAACGGCTGATATGTGTAACTATAAGAATTCAAAGAGTCGCCGACTCGAGTACTCGCTGAAGTGCTTGAAGTATGGCCGCAGTAATCCTTCGCAAGATTCGGCATTTGGCTCGTTGACAGACAATGATCTCTCAGTTGGCTCATCTAGCTTTCGCATAAGTAGCTTTCAATCTATTTCTTCACCAATTGATGAGGGTGTAGAGGATGTTATAATAGCAACCACAACAGGTGGCAAGGTAACATGTTTGGAATTGGCCACAATACCGAAGAGCATGGTGTCGCAAGATTCTGCCATTTCATCACCATGTCGTGAAACGTCGCCAAGTAACTTTTTAAATATTGACGATGGCATGTCCGGTTCCTATTCGGGTGCATCCACTTCGTCCGGCTCTACAGGCAATATACGTCCGCAACAATTTCCCGTCTCGCTTTCGCCTAAAATACTCGTCACTGCCACCACTAACTCTAGCAATTCGTCACTTTCTTCATCTAGCGCCACACTACCACAAGCACAACAATTCGATCCACCCAAAATACTTGTTAACGATCAAAATTCTATTTATACAACATCACCCTCGAAACGCATCGGTACAATTGAGGTCTTCTCACAGAAATATCGCGTCAGCTCCTTTGAAGATATGTCACCCAACAAACGTTCTTCTTCCGATAAGCTTTTGAAGAATGTCAATCGTATGGCATTCCGTTCACTCGAGGAGGAACGACGCATTGATAGTGCTTTTATGCCAATTGGGGATCGCACAAGTTCCGAAAATCGCGTCAACATGCAGCGTGATGAGAAGTACAAGAAGCTGACACATGCCTCATTTCGCATCAGTAAGACCTCAAGCCAGGTAATTGTCTACGAAAATACACCCAGTCAAATTACCAGCACATCGCCAGTTGGCAATACGAATGTCATAGCAAGCGTTGAATTGCAGCGCCCGGCTACGGCATCGGGTTCGATCAGTAGTCGTCAGACAATGTGGCGCGATAGTAAGTTTTATCGTAAAAATCGTATAGCCAAATCCAATGATTCGCTATTGGAGACCTCACCCAATCATTCTGCGCGCTTGTCGCCATCCTCGTTGCGTGACAATCACTATGACAGTAGCTCCTCTTACGGTAGCCGCAGTCAGAGTCGACAATCGCTAAATCGTGGTAGTTCAATAAATGAAATATCCGGTCTAAATCAGACGTTCGGTGGTAGCAGTGGTGGCGGCAGCGGCAGCGGCGCCGGCGGTATACACGGTTTGGCGGTAACCACTAGCTTTTGCGGCAATATTGGTTCAGCCGGCGCTGGTCGCCGCTACTGTAGTTCGAAGAGTGAAGATCTCGCTGACTCAAATGACTATTTGCGTGTTATGGATGCACGTAAATCGTATTCGGAACGACATCTCGTCACATTAACAAAACTAAAACAAACAGCTATTAACAATACAATGAGCGGTAGTGAGCAATGCTGCTTCTCTGAGGACGAAATGAGCTTCTATGATGACAATAATGTATACGGTTATATGTATTATAATGAACAACAACAAAAACAACAACAACATCAACAACATCACCATCATAATCAACATCACGCTAAACAACAGCATCGACAGCAGCAACAGCAGCAACAACAACAAATTCAACAACGCCGTACGCATTATAATCCACATCAGGCAACCAAGCCAACAAAGCAACAGCAACAGCAACAGCAGCAACAACAAATACAAACACATCAAAAACAACAGCAACAAAAACATCATCAGCCACAACAGCAAACCAAACGTTCCCACCCAAACCACCTTAGCTGGAGTAGCTGCTCCATAAATCGCATTAGAACGACCAATATAAAGACCACATCTCTGGCTACGCTATCCTGCCATCAAAATTTAGCCTATTCCACTTCCGCACACTCTCCCAACGCAGCCAATACGACTGCTGCTTGTACCATTGAAGCTCTGCCACGGGTCTCACGCAGCGCTATTTTCAAGTCAGTCGATCATTTTGTCAATTTGACAGATAAAAGTAGCTGTGGCGACGTTGGTACCGGCAGCGGAGGTAGCGGCACTTGCACTGCCACCGACGATAATAGTTCAACCGACGATTCGCCAACGCATCAGACTTTGAGCGCTGCTGAATTGTCGAAAATTTTCGCAATGCACGATGCCCAAAGCAGTCACTGCAGTGAGGAGAAGACACCGCTGTTGGACAGCGTTGAAATGTCGCCAATTAGTCCAACTGAGACGGAGGATTTGGGTGGCGGAGAAAAAATGTGATATACGAAATTTCAGTAAATACATACACGCATGCACACGCTTAAGAAAACGAAAAACCAATTTAAGTTATTTAATATAGTAAAAAAGTAAGAAATAGAAAAATATAAGATATTCAAAAATATGAAAGCGATACACGCGTTAAAACGGATATAGAAATTTTGTGAGTTAATAATGTCAATACATGCGCGTTGCCAACTATACAAAATAAAATAAACGTAGAAAATATTTTAAAAGTTTAGCAAAATTTAAATTTAGTATGGCAATCGCTTAAATAAACAATGAAGAAGATGATTTTTTAGCAACAAAACGTAAAAGCTTTCTTTATGTCAATAGATGAAGCTAGATTTCGGAGTTGTTTATGATTTTTAAATAAGTTAGTATTTATTAAGTCTTTATAAGCTAAAATAATAAGTAATAAATAATAATATTATTAATTTAATTCAAAAAAATATATATAATATAATTTAGTTTACGTCGAAAAAATTTCGCTTAAAATATAAACTGAACTCAAAAACTTTCAAATTTATAGAAAAAATCTTCAAAGCAAACCAATGATGCGTTTGTATGTAGAAACATTCACGAATTCAAATAAAGGAAGAAAAAAATAATAATTTAAGCCTGAAAGCAACAAAATGTTTATTTAAATTTTAATAGATCAATAAAAACATAAAAAAAACTCATTTCACTATCATCATTGATGCAGCAACTACCATCCTTATGATAATTTTAAGTAACAAAATAAACAAAAAGCATATATATGTATATATATATGTATATGTACATATATATATAAATAAGTATATGTATTTAAATGAGACATATTTCGAAAATATATTTCCTTGAATCTTAAAAAAGTGTTAAACATTTTTAATTAAATAGAGAATGAAGTAATAAATAATATAAGAAAAAAGATTAAAAACTTAAAACTTAAAAAAAAACATATATATATACATTATGACGTAATGTTTAGGGAAAACGTTATTTGCTTGAAAGTCTCAACAAAACTAGTTTCGTAAGTTATGGAAAATATATATATATATATATACACATACATAAGTACATATGAATGTATATGTACATACATATGTATACTCGAATATGCGAACTTTTAACTAAACAAATAAAATAATTATTGCCGCTAAACTTTTTGTGTCATTTTGACACTACAGAAATTATTATACTAGATACTTAATAAAAATTTCCCAAAAACAAAAATTATATTATATGAATTTGTTGTGCTAGTGTTGAAGTTAGTGGAAAAAAATATTGAACTCATACCATAAACAAGCATCGCAACGAGCTTTCGAATAAAAAAATAAATAAAAAAATTTAAGTAAAAAAATTGAAGTAAAAAAATTGATTGTAAATTGTTTTCCCTTCCCCAGCATCGTTTCTTTGGAAATTTTAAAATTCGCGTCACAAGCAATGGCGAATTTTATTATTATGCGTTTAAGATACAATAGTATAATTTTAGGCGCACTTAGTTGTAGGTACAGGCATCGGGAATACTCAACTTTGCGGTGTAAATTAGCTTTAAAATACATACAAAAATAATGAATTAATTTGTATTTACGTGTATAATTCTCGCAGCACATTTGATTTAAACAAACCAAAACAAAAAAACACGAATCTTTTCATTTTATCTACAATATGAAAATAATTTACATCTAGAGAGAAATCGAAGCGATAGGCAACGACATGCAACGAAACAGTGCTGCGAGCTGAGCAGAGCTGAGATAAGCAGAAGCAGCAGCTATAGAAAAGTGCGTAATGCAGTTACAGAATGATTTCCAGTGAATAGAACGGCTTTTTTAATCAGTTCTTAAGAAAATTTTCAAATTTAGGTTACTTTGTCTTTGAAATTCGGTTCTGCTTTAAATGGACGCATATAGAGTTCTACAATAACAATGTTAAATACATAAAACAAATCAGTAAAATCGAAAGAATACTCCAAAGATATAAAATTAATAGTTAAAAACAGCGCAGAACCATGCATATTGGAAAAGCAAATGAAAAGTAGAGATATTTTGAAAATTCATATTGCAAACAAAGATCACTGAACAAAAGGAACTAATTACCTTAAAGATGTAAGCAATCAAGCAACAGTCAACTAACCGATATCACAAATCTAATTGCATAGATGACAAATAAATACATGCAAACATATGGATATATGTATCATATATATAAATAGACGAAAATTACTGAAAAAGAATCTGCATGCGAAACAAATCACTATATACTCAAATACATACGATCACATGTAGTAACGTTTCCAATTCATTACGTAATTGGAATGCACCTCATAAATTTAAACGAAAATATAATATACATACATATGTATATACATACATACATACATACATACAAACAAAACAGAGAAACACAGGAAATTTTAAAATAATTGTAATTAAAATGTACTTTCGTATTCAAATTAAATTTTTCTCTTTTTCATTCCGAAATTGAATTAATCATTTTATTACAAATTCAATATTAATGTTGAAAAAATATATTTAAAAAAAAAAAAAATATTCAATAAAGCGAGTATAGTTGAATTTGCATACCTAGTACATGAACATGATTTTCATACCCGTTAGTGTAATGATTAGCTTTAGTACATACATACAAACATACTCGTACTCGTACACACAGATATATTTTCCAAAAAAAAAAATAAAAAATAAACGTAAATTATGCAATGAGGTCCTCATGAATCGGTGATATTGTTAAGTATGTAATTTTACTTTTATTTTCCACTGAACTAAGTAAATAAATAACTATTACATGACAAATTATTGTTGTACTAAGACGTTCAATTACTTGTTGGTGTATGGGTAAGTTGTTTAATGCAGACTTGTCACTGAAGGAAAATATACTAATAGAATACTCTAAGAAATGCCGATTGCCCTTTAGTGCAACAGTTTCATACTAGTTAAATACTAGTTCAATAAATACGATTTCATTAAAGCGCAGGCGCTTCGCCAACCAGGTCCTTCTCTACCTGACATTTGCAATAGAGTGGAGTATTACTCTGCTTTCACCGGCGGGTCTTCTTCTTCTGCTTAACTGGTGTAGAAAAAGCTTACGCGATTGTAGCCGAGTTAACAACATTAACAACATTCGATGCTGGAGAGAATAATAAGAGCGGTACAGCTGAATAGAGAAGATGCAATCTTCTATAACAGTGCACAACTACTAGCGTATGATATTGACATTATGGGCCTCAACAACCGCGCCGTTAGTACTGCTTTCTCCAGGCTTGATAAAGAAGAGAGGCGAATGGGTCTGGTAGTGAACGAGGACAAGACGAAATATCTCCTGTCATCAAACAAACAGTCATCGCATTCGCGATTTGGCTCCCACGTCACTTTTGACAGTCATAATTTTGAAGTCGTAGATAATTTCGTGTATCTAGGCACCAGCATCAACACCAAAAATAATGTCAGTCTTGAAATTCAACGCAGTATAACTCTTCCCAACAGGTGCCACTTCGGACTGAGTAGGCAATTGAGGAGTAAAGTCCTCTCCCGACGAACAAAAACCAAACTCTTTAAGTCCCTCATCGTTCTCGCCCTGCTATATGGTGCGGAGCCATGACCGATGACAACATCTGATCAGTCGGCGTTAGAAATTCGGACCATATGACCTAACCAGCGTAGGCGCTGATCCCTGATTCACTGAATTATATCAATGTTGCCGCATATCTAGTACAACTCAACCTTCTTTTGTCTGCGGCATTTCCTCAAAAGTTCTTTTCGTGCTTTCGAAGGCTGCTTTAATCGATCGGGTATTTTCTAATATTTTGCGCAATGGTGGATTTACTAGATCTAAAGGCACACTAATAAGTTCCAATCAGTTTATTGTTTTTTCCCACAATATACTCAATTTATTTTGAATATCTTCCCCTCTGTTGTTTATCAAACGGTCTATAAATCGAGCAAGGTAATCTCTGTACCATCGAGATCTAATGGGGAATCGGGCTCACCATCTCCGGGTGAACCATTTTCATTGCCATTCAGAAGTGTGGGGAATTATTCCCTCCATAGCAGCTCAGAGCATTAGTCATTAGATTACCTCTCTGGATCCCACAGGAGTTTGCTCCGGCCTTAAAAAATACAACCAATCAGCAGGGTGCTTCGCGCAGTAAATATCAAGCCTGGCAGTCCTCTAACCCGCTGGCCATCGTGACTATTTCAACGTATCAGAAAAAGAAATCAAATCGGTGGTGTGGTAAAGAGTAACACAACAGAGGAAATTGTAATAACTCCAGTTGATTGAGATTTTCCAAAAAACGATGAATTGATTTCATCTTTAAAATACAAATATGTGCATAAGAGGTGTATTTCTTACATACTACTGGTGGTATATGCGTACATATATATGTATGTATATTGAAATAATCGTAAAATGTGCTTCATGCAGATTCCTGAGAAAGCCAATTTTTTTTATTTTTCTTATCTGCGCGGCAAGATCTCTGTAACTACAAATGTTCGCGCTACAGATGAGTGCCTAATGTATATATATTGCACATAGTATATGAATACGAATGCATATTGGAATTGGAAACTAGTATATAAAGAATGTAAAATATACTCAATCGATTAGTTCATATTTTAAGTGCGCTCCCAGCTGAGATCATTCAAGAGGAAAATGCCGTTGAAAGGAGTCCAATTCAAATCGCCACTATTGTGGCTGCAAAGGTTTTAAAATTGGAAATCTTCCAAACAAAACAATTATAAGAAAAATATCCCTTTTATAGGCTTAGCAACAAATGCAATACTACACAATGTCGATATGCGTCCGGGAATACGACATACACGTCCACACCGGATACTCATACGAGGAGCAATCGAATAGCGTCACTTGAGCATACGGACAGCACGCAACAAGAAATTTTACATCACGCAGGTTTATCAGCAACTTGGTGGGACTTAAATGGACCGTTACATGGTTTACACAAGCTTAACGATTTGAGGTGCATACGCTCATTTGCAGTAAGCATTAAATAAATAAAAAAAATAATAATTTTTATAATTATTTACACAGAGTTCCTTTCGTGCGTGATGGCTTGATGACCCACAGTGATATTCAGAAGCATTTAATCAACACAAACAATGTGCTGCAAGGTAAAAATATTTTGGAAGTTGGCTGTGGTGGCGGCATTTTGACTGAAGCATTAGCACGCCTGAATGCTAATGTAACCGGCGTTGATTTGGGCGAAGATGTTATAAACACAGCACAAAAGCATTTGGATAAATTTAGTCCAGAGCTAATAGAGCGCATAACCTATAAAATCGAGCCAATAGAAGCGCACGCTAGAAGGAACTCAAATCACTACGATGCAGTTGTTTGTTCTGAAGTATTGGAGCATATTGATGACAAAGCGGCATTCCTTAGAGATTGTGTGAAAGCGTTAAAGGTATAATTTTGAAGTGTGATACAATAATTTTCAAATACTAATTGGAATATTTTTTATGTGTGCTACACATCATCAGCCGGGGGGCTCAATATTTATAACAACTTTAAACAAAACTGTACCACAGTGGTTTGGTGGCATTATTCTTGGTGAATATGTTTTTGGTGTTGCACCAATAAACACACACCACTGGCATAAATTAATATCGCCAGAAAATGTGCAACTATTACTCACAGCACGTAAGGCGATTTTCTCATTATTTTGGCTCAATATTTATCCTCATTTAATTATTTCAGTTAATTGTCAAACTGTACTGCTGAAGGGCTTCACTTATGACGTGTTTAATAATCGCTTTCGATGGATTAAGCCTACTGCGATGTGCTATGCTCTACACGCAATTAAAAACGAATAATCGTTTAAATATCAGTACTTCCATAAAATTTCATTAATTAATTTAACGAAAATATATATATTGTATAATAAAAAATTTAATTTCATCTTATGGTATTTTCGTTTTCCTAATTTAAGCTGTTTATGTTGTTCTTAAAATTTTTGCGAAATTTGTATGCTGTTGGAGAAGGGAAATACATAAAATTTTGCCCTCTCTGCAATACATTTACTGCCCTTAAAATCAAGCCAAGTGGCAACGTGGTTAATGTCATTATCATCTGATTTTTGTTTATTTTTTATGCTAATGTCGTTATGGTTTGTGATTTTTCGTTGCCGACTAATAGACACTAAAACACATATATAACAGAGTTTAAAGTGAATGTTGTTATTTATTAATGGTCAAACTTCATTAAGACTACATTAATATTTAAGTTTTTTCAAATTAACAATGGCAATTCAGCTAATCAGAATGCTATTACCTCTAACGAGGACACAAAGGTTTGAAATTTTTCTTTAAATATATTATATATATGTTACGAGGGTACGAGAAGTGTAATATAATTTTGTTCAGATATTTGTCGAAAGGGCCTACGCAACTTCGATATGCACAAACTTCGTCTAATAGTAACCAAAAAGAAGGAGCACACACCCACAACACCAGTACGCAAAAAGAAATAGATCATCATGCTAGCTTTTCCGAAAATTGGTGGAACTTAAATGGACCAATGGAGAGTCTACACAAACTTAATGAGCTGAGGTACATTTTTCTTCATCTTTATACGCAAACAATTTGTTTTCTTTTTGTAGATTTTAATTTTTTTTAAACAGAGTACCTTTCATACGCGACGGTTTAGTGGCACGTGGGGCCGTAGATTCAAGCTTAGTAAAAACTACAAAAGTTTTGCAAGGCAAAAATATTTTGGAAGTTGGGTGCGGAGGTGGCATTTTGACTGAAGCCATAGCCCGACTAAGTGCTAATGTTACCGGCGTTGATTTGGGGGAAGATGTTATAGGAGCAGCTAGGAAACATTTAGAAGAACACAGTTCCGAACTGAAGAAGCGCATAAATTACAAAATCGAACCTATTGAAGTGCACGCAAAAACATATTCAAACTACTATGATGCTGTTATATGTTCAGAAGTATTGGAACACTTGGATAACAAAGCAGAATTTCTAACACATTGCGTTCATACATTAAAGGTAAGAGAATAAACAAACAAAAACGTTTGGTATATTTGCCCAACTTCTTTAGCCTGGTGGTTCAATATTCATAACAACAATGAACAAAACTATACCACTGTGGATTGGAGGTATTATTCTCGCGGAATATGTATTTCGTATAGCACCAAAAAATACTCATCACTGGGATAAATTGGTGTCGCCTCTGGATGTACAACGAATTCTCTCAGCATGTAGGATTTTAAAATATATTCTCTTCCATAATATTATATCACGAGCGTTTACTTATATCTTTTTCCAGTAAATTGTCAGACAGTGCTGACGAATGGGTTTACCTACGACGTATTCCGCAAACGCTGGCAATGGATGAATAGTACAGTGATGTGTTATGCGATTCAAGCAATTAAAGTCGAATAAATTATAAGTATTCCGTATAAATGTATATAAAAAAATTGTTATCTTTTAATGTAATGAAATACAATTTAAAATTTGGTAAAATTTCATGTTAGTATGCTGACATACCACCATTAAAGCTATGCAAAAAATACAAAATATGTACATTATCCATACAAATCGTTTGCTATATTTTGATTATTTTTGTTGTTTTCACAAATAAAAATGACAATATAATATATGTATATAGAAGTAAAAATTAGTTGTAGTACTTAATATAGTTCAAAGAGGATTCATTCACTGTCGTTATCAGGCTTTTGGAATTTCGGTTTTTTACTTTGCCATGAAGTATTCTCAAAATTGTTTCGCTTTGCTTTGAACTGGGCTTTTGTTTGAAATTTCTTCTGCATTGTAACCTGTTGGGCTTGGAAAAACTTTGCCATTTCTTTGTCAGACACCTCTTTCTTTTGTTCATGTTGTGTATTAGCAACTCGCTCCGCTTGTTCCAACTCTAAAAGGCGTTCAATTTCCGGATTCATGCCACGAAAACTGAGTCGTCCTTCAATAAGGTTTTCGCAATGCATGAAACTCGGTTCTATTATAAAATTCGAATTACCATGCAGCATTTTCTGGGTGATCTCCTGGGAATACATTTCACGTCCTTCTGCATCTTCAATCTCCTTGTCCACTTTTGCTTTTGTGCGCTGCATAAATTTCATCTCCAGTATACCCTTGGAGAGGCGTGGACGTGCTTTTTTTGTAGACATTTTTATATTCAATGATTCCACTAGCAAATGTGTTACGAATAAGAGAAAAAAATTATTTTAATTTAAACGCAAGCATAGAAACTGAAATTAATTTACGTTTTTTGGAGCACGCTTACGAATTTTACGAAAACAACATAGACTTGATGAATCGCAAACGATAAGCAAATGAAAACTGATAAGCACGGGTAATCAAAAGATGTCGCTGTGCTAAAAAAAGGTGCCAAACTTATAAATGATTTATATTTTCTTAAAAAAAACAGGGAAATCGTCTGGAAGTAAACACTCATTAACTTGCCTGTTTATATATTGAAAAATATTTACTGTTTCGAAGTCGAATAGCAATTTAGAAGATATAAATGAAACTTAAAGCTGATCTTTTATCAACTAATCAACTAAAACTTATCATTCTGTACAGGTTTGACTATTGTGAACTATTTGAAACATCAATAAATAAAAAAGAAGAAGAAGGTGAAATGGCGGCAGTGTTAAAAGTTGTATTCTATTATTTATCAGAAGTTATAGCGCTATAAAATATTTGAAAGGAGGTCTTTCAAAGCAATTAATAAATAACTAAAAAAGACTCTACTACTTTCGAAAGTGTAATTGTATGTTTGAAGCTTTCGCACCATGGAAGCGAACGCACTTAGTGGACGGGTGGTGGTGCATGAATCCGCGCCCACCCCAATAAGGCAGGAACAACAGCAGCGCGCGGTTGGTTCCCTGGTGGCACTGACTCAGAAATTCGTGCAATTAATGAAACGCAATCATGGAAGAATAGATCTCAAAGAGGTAACACCTATAGTGCATAATATGCATTGAGCTTAATTTTGATATTGTTCGCTAGAGTAGTACTTTAAACCCACTTTTTAGCGCTTAATGTACAATACTTAAACACACTCTGAAATTGTTTTTCTAATCGAGTTATTCAATTTCAATATCATACATATCAATAACTATGGTTCTCATATCTATTTATATTTCTGTATCTGATATACATTATTCAAGGCAACTGAACTTCTGGATGTTCAAAAACGGAGAATCTATGATATAACTAATGTTTTAGAGGGCGTTGGTCTAATTGAAAAGACACGCCACAGCAGCATGGTCCGATGGCGGTAAGACTTAAACCAACAGTCAAGAATATATGTAAATCTTTAATTTAATGCACACTTTTAGAGGCGCACTAAACACTAGTGCAAGTCGACATAGCTTAAGAACGGCGCATGCGCGAGCCAGGAAATTGAAAGCGCTTGAAGCAGACGTCGATCTCCAACTAGAATATGCTAGGCGCAATTTGAAATACATCAAAGAAGACGCTGTTAACAATTCTTATGCATACGTGACCCGCGATGACTTGCTTTCTATATATGGAGATAAAGTTGTTCTTGTAATACCTAACCATGACGATGAGGTCAAAATTGAGCCCACACGCGTACGTAACATTGCTTTAATAGGTTTTCCTATACATTTTTTTTTAATTATGTTATATTATGTCTCGCAGAATTCGTTATACGTATCACTTGACAATGGCGGAAAAATAGATGTACGGCTGGTTACGCAACAAGGCAACTGCATTGCGCCAAAACCCGAAACAGCACCATTAATTTCTCGTTTGGAAACACCTTCTCCGTCATCATCAAATTGTTCACAAGCGAGCACATCTAATAAATCGACTCTAGTCACCGATGAGCATACATACTTTTGCAATCCCGAACTTAAAAAAGAACAAGATGAAATAGAAAATGAGCTTGCAGCTCGCATAATTTTTAAAAATTCGTTAGCACAACATTCATTACGTAGATTTTTCCCTGATGATCCCAATTTAGGTGAGCGTATACATTTCGTCGAAATTATTTAAAATTAAGATTATGACTATTTCAGATAATGCACCACTGATCCAGTTAAATCCCCCACGTGAGGATTATAATTTTGTTTTAACACAAGATGAAGGTGTATGCGAGCTTTTTGACATAAAGTGCAATACATATTGATGAGATTATGCCTTTAATTCTTATTTAAAATCATTTTGACCTTTTAATGGTTCATTGTATAATATTTATGTACATATAAGAAATCCCGGAAGATATATAAGATACATATTTACATATGTATGTCATTTAAGCGGGTCTGTAATGTACGTATAATTCAAAAATAAGCGTTTAATACACTAAATAGACAAAAAAAAAAAAGAATATTTATATATATAAATTTTTTAGTTAATGTCAACTTAATTAAATATTGTAGTGAAAATTTTGATAATGTTAAAGTAATTAGGAACTTAAAGACTTCGGCAAAATTTTAATAAAATATTTACTAATAACTTTTATTCTGTGTTTAAAATTTTAATTCTGATGAAATAAGGGGAAGTAAATTGTACAATTTCTTAAGGTTTTCTGCAATGTGAAGACCTTATGTAATTTCTGCGATAGCAGATAAAATTCCTATACAAAACATCTTCAACGAAAAGAAATAACTTTTTCATGAAAAATATAAAATTAATATAATTTATTAAGAATATTTACATTACTTATTTTGACTATTACACTAAACATTGGCAAATATTTATTTTCTTTTCGCTTTCTTCCAATTTTTATTGCCTCCACCGCCTCCTTGAGGTTTCATACGTTTACGAGCGCCAGTAAATTGTTCGGAATCATCGAAATCATCGCCACTTTTCTTGAATTTTCCTTTTCTACTGCCCTTACTCTCTTCCAAGTCTTTAAGCTCTAACTTAGCTGTTCGCTGTGCTTCACTCACTCTCTCCTGTAGTGCCATAACTTCATCCTCTTCACAAGGATATAATGGTAACTGCTTGCCAAGTAAATGTTCAATGCGCTGATATAATTCAACATCGTACTGTGTAACAAACGTAACGGCTTTACCGGAGCGTCCTGCACGAGCTGTTCTGCCTACACGATGTATATAATCTTTACTGTGTGTTGGTATGTCAAAGTTCAATACTACATCTACGTGAGGTATATCAAGCCCACGTGATGCGACATCTGTAGAAATAAGAATGGATCGGTTTTTCGCTTTAAACTTATTCAATGCAGCTAATCGCTTGTTCTGAGACATTTGTCCATGTAGTGGTATGGCCGCGAGTCCCAACGCACGCAGCATTAATGCAGTACGGACCGTGTTAGCACATGTACTACAAAATATCATAAAACTGTTGCCAGCCAACTCATTTATTATATGTACTAAATATACATCTTTAAACTTGACTGGAATAAAAATATAGTACTGTTGGAGCTGCTCAACCGTTTGATATTTATTGGAAACTTCTACTTTGACTGGATCTTTTAAAGAAGCACGTTGCAATTTTTTCACTTTCTTGGTCATAGTTGCACTGAATAGAAATGTTCGTCGTTCACGTGGCAAAACTTTTAATATTTTATCCAGTTCCACCTCAAAATCCATATTTAATATACGATCTGCTTCGTCCATCACCAAATACTTTATTGCTTTTAGATTAAATCCTTTCATGTTTTCAAGATGATCAACTAATCGACCAGGTGTTGCAATAATTATATGAGGCTTTTTGGCCAGCTGTAAGGCTTGGGAAACCATATCCATACCGCCGACGACAACACAGCATTTCACACCAATAGAGCTACCTAGAAAGAAAATACACAATTTTTTTAATAAGTCGTTGTATAGATCGTTAAAGCTTAAGTTCATTATTTTGTTGCTCAGAGGTAGTGACGAAACTAAAATAAATGATTTCATATAAAAAAATCAAAATAAATGTTTTACATCATTGCATGCTTCACATATCAAAACCGGTAGGATATCGGGTATAGAGGGTAAGCCAAACTAATATTAAGGAAACTATTTAATTTTATTAAACTCACCTAGTGCTTCAAATTGTTCGGATATTTGAAAGGCCAATTCTCTTGTGGGTGTTAGAATAAGCGCGAAATACCGCTGCGGATTTTCAAGCAATGCATGTAATATTGGTAAAGCAAATGCACCCGTTTTACCAGAGCCCGTTTCGGCTAAACCAATAATATCTTTCCCTTGCAATGCTACAGGTATTGCTTCTTTTTGAATTTTGGATGGTGCTTTCCATTTCAATTCCTCACATGCTTGGCATAGAGCGTCTGTTAATCCCTACAAATTACACAAATATATTATTCACAATATACTTTAACTGGAGCTCTCATGAACACTTACAAGATCTTTCCACGTGATAGAATTCTCGTCATTCTCCGTTGCCAACTTATTCTCTAAAATATTGGAGTCCTTGTCGCTGTCATTTTCTTCGACTTCTTCATCTCCAGAAAACTCCTCCGCATTTTCCTGTTCCTCTTCATCACCGACATTGGAAGAATTCTCGTCCTCCTCTGAAGTGCCCATTTTATTTATGATTAATAAAATTACAAAATCACGGTGAAACTTTAGATTTTACCAGGAGTTGAGAATTTTTTCAAACGCACGTTTCACCATCTAAAGGAAAAGTGAACGAAATGCCATGCTGACAGACGTAACCTCACATTCCCCAGGGTTGCAACTAATTTGTAAATATCTTAACAGGTGGTCGGACGCGAGACATTTAAACTTATATATTATTTATATGAGGTCATATTGTTTGCGAAAGCAGTGGTCAACTAATGAGGGCTCTTAGAACAACGTTTTTATTTTTATTTTTATTTTATTTTGTAGTGATCGTCACATCATCACTGGATACAATAGAGTTCTCACAACTGAAAGTCAGCAAGATACTTTAGAGCGCAGTGTCTGCCTTTTCTCGTTCTATTTTTGATATAGAGAGATTTTGGTATGGACAGTGTTTAAATCTCCGTATTGGAGGAAAGCTGATCTTAAAAGGGGTTAGCGAACCTCTACGCACTAACAACAACAAGTGCTTCAGCTTTAGTAATGTATTAAAAAAAAGTCCAGCTAGCGAGAACCATAACTCATTACCACAGTTTTCATATCTAGAAAATATGATGTATGTTGTTATGTTGAAGAAATAGTATTTTTTAATTCTAGTTAGCTGCAACCCTGTTAGTTAGTCTCTCTGGGATACTTATTGTCGATTGTTTTTCGAGTTTAGTCGATAGCAAGACTTATCGATATTTATTTCTCGATTTTTTACGACTGGCATCTCCGTTTCAATTCGATTTATTGATTCTGTGTGACGTTTAATAAATTCGTGAAAAAGTTAAGTGTCTGGAAATCTTTGGATGAACTAAATTTTTCTGTGCAACCAATTATACCAGAATTTGATAGTTTATTGTTCTGAAATTATAATAACGTGTAAGATAATTTTTGTGCTTTAACATATTCAATTAAAAAATGTGTGAAATCAAACAAATACTTCGTATAAAAAATTGCCCAAAATAACAGTGTAGTGAAATAAATCAAATTTTTAGTTTTTAGGCAATAGAAAATTTGTTTAGCAAATCGAAAAATAAAAGTAACTATTGCTCAATTGATTTTTTCACATCTTAGATTTCTACTCCTCCTCTGTGCAACCAGAGAAGCAGCAGCCGCACATAATTCTGTGTACACAATAAAGAGGGGGCAGGCAATAGAGGAATTCAAGTGATAAGGAGTCGGCAGCAAGAGGGGGCGTTAAGGAATACATACGACGATAACAGAATTGCGAGAAAACTAATTTCTACTTAAGCGTAAATTATAACACACGAACAAATAGCTGTTATTTTCGACTTTCGAGCATAATTAATAAACTAGGTTCACGTTTGCTGGTATAGCTTAATGTAAAAACTGTCTCTTATCTGGCAGAAGAATTTTTTGCATAAGGCTTACGCCCCTTTTCGGCCATTGATTCGTTGAAACTTTACCGAAAGTAGAACAACTATCATTAAGAAATAAGTAAAATTTATCGCTTGCAATGAATCCTGCAACTGATCCATGGGTTATCACCCAACGAGAGAAAATTAAGTATCAGGAGCAATTTAAAGCACTGCAGCCTCAAGGAGGTTTTGTAACCGGTGCACAGGCGAAAGGTTTCTTTTTGCAGTCACAATTGCCACCGCTTATTCTCGGACAAATATGGTGAGTCATTAAAAATAAAAAACATTGATACACATATGGACTAACAAAAAAACATAGCAGTGTTATCAACTTGTTTATTATTATTTGTTTGTATTTGTATTTGCTTTTTAAATATTAATGTATAATATCATTACTTCTTTAATGTTTATAGGGCACTAGCTGACACCGATTCTGATGGCAAGATGAACATCAATGAGTTCAGTATTGCATGTAAACTAATTAATTTAAAACTTCGTGGAATGGAAGTGCCGAAAGTGTTACCACCTACATTACTCGCATCACTAACTGCGGTTGGTGGCACCCCTACAATGACTCCTACTGGTACAGGTAGCTTAAGTCCTCTGGATCCGCTAAAATCGCTTTCTACTGCTGTTAAGCAACCTGTAGTCCCCATATCCGGTGCTACTTTGCCAGGTGCTGTACCGGCTGTGCCAGGTATTGTGCCAGGGACCTTACCAGGTGTGTTGCCGCAATCTATACCAGTTGCAATGGCGCCAGGGGTTGTTTCCGGAATCCACTCTGCAGGAATGCCCGTCAGTGTTGCAGGCATTGTACCACCAGTTCCAGGTGGGGTACCGATTCCTGGCATGGTACCAATGGCAGTATCCGTTGCAACTGGAGTCGCACCACCACCTATGATTTCTTCTATACCAGCGGTTGTTTCACCGCCAAATAGTAGTGAAACAGCCAAAGTACCGGCAACACCAACTCCACCACAAAGCAACCCACCCAGTCGCCATATGTCAATTTCAGAACGCGCGCCATCTATCGAATCACCGTAAGTATATACTATACATATGTGCGTGGCGTATACTTAAATTATCAATTAATTTTTATAGTCAAAGTGAATGGGCCGTCAAAGGTCCAGCTAAACGTAAATACACACAAGTCTTCAACGCAACTGATCGTACACGTTCTGGATATTTGACTGGGGCACAAGCCCGTAGCATACTTGTACAAAGCAAGCTACCACAGGTCACACTAGCGCAGATTTGGGCACTCTCCGACTTGGACTCGGATGGTAGACTAAGTTGTGACGAGTTTATTTTGGCTATGTTCCTTTGTGATAAGGCCATGAATGGAGAAAAAGTGCCAGTTTCATTGCCACTTGACTGGATACCACCCAGCTTTCGAAAAGTAAAATCGCGACAAGGATCTGTTTCGGGGCCGGGTTCACGCACTGGCTCGACACCAGCATCCCGTCACGCTTCAGTTTCTTCACAAGGCGCCGTTGATGCGGATCCAGCAGCAGGTTTACCTCAAAGTAAAATTTAAAAACTAACGTTATGAGTTGTGATTAACATTTTATTGCTTTTCTTTGATACTAGCAACGTTTGAAGATAAACGCAAGGAGAACTTTGATAAAGGTCAAGCAGAATTAGATCGAAGGCGTAAATTACTACAGGACCAACAGCGTAAAGAGAAGGAAGAACGCGAGCGCAAAGAGCGCGAGGAGGCAGAGAAGCGCGAGAAGGCACGCCTTGAAGCCGAGCGTAAGCAACAAGAAGAATTGGAACGGCACTTGCAAAAGCAACGAGAATTAGAAATGGAGAAGGAAGAACAACGAAAACGAGAGCTTGAAGCTAAAGAAGCAGCTAGAAAGTAATTGACGCAAAGTAAACTTGATTTTAAGAACGGATCCTCATATATTTGTTCATTTCAGAGAGCTGGAAAAGCAGCGACAAATGGAATGGGAGCAAGCACGTATAGCTGAAATGAACGCTCAAAAGCAACGTGAACAGGAACGTGTATTAAAACAAAAAGCGCACAACACCCAACTCAATGTCGAGTTGAGTACATTAAATGAAAAAGTAAGAGCCCCATAAAAATGCGTAAAGACCATAATATATATCCATTATACGAAATATATCACCATTGTGCCAATTAACTAATGTAACCTTGTTTTTTTTAGATTAAAGATTTGTCCCAACGAATTTGCGATACGCGTGCCGGCGTAACTAATGTTAAAACCATAATTGATGGTATGCGCCAACAAAGAGATTCTTCAATGAGCGAAATGACGCAACTTAAATCACGTATAAAGGAACAAAATGCCAAATTGCTTATGCTTACTCAAGAACGTTCAAAGTGGGAAGCTAAGAAGACTATAGGCATGACAAACGATAGTGCACAACAAGAGCAACTGAATGCCGCTTTTGCCAACAAACAGGTAAAAACATTTGTTTTCTTAATGAAATAAAAAAAGCAAATGATCAAGGTAACGGTTCGACACTAGCATTGATGGAATTAGACAGCAGCAAGAATCTCACAATTTAGTAAAATGAATAATACGAAATTATGTAATACCTTCGTAATGAGCTTAAAATTGAAGTCAATATAATTTAAATATCACTCATTCTTGAATTTTCTTCTTACAGCTTATCATAAAACAATTGAAGGACAAAGCTGAAAATATACGCAAAGAAATCGACTCTAAAAAAGAAGATATTAATTCGAACGATGTACAAGTTGCTGAAGTAAAAGGCGAATTGTCGGCATTAATAACCAAATGTGAGGAGTTATATGCTGACTATGATACACAACGCACACAAGTGCTCGAATTAAAATATAACAAAAAGAATGATAATGTCTCAGCTGCGACATCTGCTTGGGATACTGGTTCTGCTGCCGCCTGGGGTACCAGCGTTGATCAGTATGCACTCTCAAATGACACTAGCGCTTTAACAGATACAACAGCAACTAATGTTGCGCCTGTGGACACCACTGGTCCAGCTCCCGAAGGTTTTGTCAAATATCGTGCGGTATACGAATTTACAGCACGAAATCAAGATGAAATTACATTTGTGCCTGGCGATATAATTCTAGTGCCATTGGAACAAAATGCTGAACCTGGTTGGCTGGCAGGCGAAATAAATGGGCATACCGGTTGGTTCCCAGAAACTTATGTGGAGAAAATCGAAGACGAGTATGCGAGTACAACAACAACGACACAAGATATTGCGGCAGACGCGGATGCGAATGCGCAAATAAGTGGTTATGCAGTACAAGACGCCTTCAATGATAATAGTGAAAGGTAAAACTAACTGAAATACCCGATCTGATGTGTGCTTTTGAGTCGTTTTTTTTTTAAGTATTTAGTTAACAATTTTCCTACGTGTTTGAAATTTATTTATGCTATATTGAAATTGTATTATGTGAGATCTATCGAAACTTATAATGATAGGACTAGGTTGACACAAAATTTTAAAGCTTTCGACTATAGAGAATAACATTAAAAGCTGGTATTTTAGGTATTTTCTAAATCTGTTTCTTTGCATTCTGAATGCTTATTAAACTCTCTTATCGCATTTTCCTTTTGTAGCCTAGCCGCCGATGCACATAACGGTGAAGTGGAGTACTACATCGCTGCCTATCCATATCAGTCCTCCGAATCAGGCGATTTAAGTTTCAACGCAGGCGAGATGGTGATGGTAATAAAGAAGGAAGGTGATTGGTGGACAGGCACAATTGGCACACGAACAGGTATGTTCCCGTCGAATTATGTGCAAAAGGCTGATGTTGGTACAGCGTCGGCGGATGTTTCGGCGGAAATAGCCAACGCTTTTGATGATCAAAAGGTAAGTAGTTGTAAATGGTTTTTGCGTTTTAAGATTTATTTCGTTAATTGTTGAAGGACTAGACTAGTTGTCATTAGAGTTTAAATGGTTTGTGACACATGTACTAGCTTCCTGTTGCTCCAAGCGTCCACTCATTTATCATTTGTTCATATATGAATATACATATTTGCATTTGCATTTACTGCATACGTATGTCTCTGTATGTATGTAATTTTTGTAATACTACTAACAATTTATACAACTTGCTTTTCCACATTTCCTTCAAATGCTGCTCCATTGCCGCGCCCCTTTTTGTAACATTTCACAGGAAAATGGCAACGCCGATATTACCGCTGGTATCGCCGCCATGACAGCCACAACATCACATGACCAAATTACAACAAATGACACTACAACAACAGCAATTGATACAGCCATACCACAACAGCAACAGCACCAGCACCAGCAAGAACAACAGAAAATTAGTAGCGGCATAAGCGCCGAGGCGATTGTTGATAATAGCAGTGCTGCGGCTGCGGCAGCCGAAGAGACGCGCACAAATGAAGACTTGGACACTGAAGTCTCACAAATTAATACACAATCGAAGAGTCAAAATGATACAGCGGAATCATATAGTCGCCCAATGTCACGCACTTCTTCCATGACGCCTGTAAATAATTTGATAACATCCTTTATCCTCTATACACATATACTTAAAACCTACATATGTAGTTACATTTATCAGATTGTATCGAAATTTGTGATATTTTATATTTATTTAGTTTAGTTTTTCTTTGTATTGAAATTAACACTTTGTACTTAACAAATTGTTTCTAATATTTTATATTAATACTAAATTATCATACAAATATCTCAATAGGGTATGCGTGCCAAGCGCTCAGAAATTGCACAAGTCATTGCGCCCTATGAAGCCACAAGCGCTGAACAACTTTCACTGACACGCGGCCAATTGATAATGATACGTAAGAAGACCGATTCGGGTTGGTGGGAAGGTGAGCTGCAGGCGAAAGGACGGCGTCGTCAAATCGGTTGGTTCCCAGCTACTTATGTGAAAGTGCTGCAAGGTGGACGCAATAGTGGGCGTAATACGCCAGTCTCGGGTAGCCGCATCGAGATGACCGAGCAAATATTAGGTAAAAATGCATGTTTATCTACTATACATATATACATATATATAAATATATATCTTATCCCTGCAGACAAAGTCATTGCATTGTATACATACAAGGCGCAGAACGATGATGAGCTCTCCTTTGAAAAAGATGATATTATCAGTGTATTAGGCCGTGATGAACCCGAGTGGTGGCGTGGTGAGCTGAATGGCCTATCCGGCCTATTTCCAAGCAATTATGTCGGGCCGTTTGTGACTTCCGGTAAGAAGGCCAGCGGTGGCAAATAATGTGGATAAATTATTGAGTGAAAAATGTGAAAGCAATGATTTATTTAATTATAATAGTGCTTATATTTATTTACATTTTAAGTTCAATATTTTAAAGCTATCATAAGTTTATATTATTATTTGATCAAAGCTCTCTTTTTGCAATATACGCACAACGTTGGTGTAGTAGTTAAGGCGAAAGTTTCTACTGCAATCTATATGAACATAACTTTATGACTAATGCGCCATATGAATTACTATTTCTTTATCATTTGTTAATTTATTTTATTTTATTTTTGCTTCGCTGTCGGAATATATGGTTTATATTATGTACAATGGCTAGTTAGTGTATTGTATATTGTTTTGCTCTCATTAGTTATTAATACGAAAATAACATAGTAAATTGACTGGTACATTCCATTATTTTGCGTTTTGCGCTGCATTAGAACGCGTCCAACGCGAGTCAATTAATTCTTAAGCATAGCTGTAAGCGTTAGCCTATTTTTATACTTACGTAAAATGCTCACGATGTGTTTGATTTATGATTCGAATGTTTCCATTTATTTGAATTCCCTTTATTCTGTTCTGTAAAAAGTTTCGTAAAACTCCAAAAACTGCAACTATCGAATGTTCACTTTTGAAAATGTAGTAATTATGCGTTTTAAGTGCTTGTAAATAGATTTCAATAATGCAATATTATAATTTTAATCATATATATAATTATGAATAATGTATTTTGGTTACTTGTTATTGTTTTTTAAGCAAATCGTAAGCTTATTTTTGTTTACAATTAGCTAAAACACAAGAACGTGTGTATTAATTGCTAAAAACTTTGTAAATATTTATAATTTACGTTATTAGTTTTTTATAAAATATAATTTTTATGTTCGCCTACTATACTAGGGTTAACTAATTAGTTTTTAATTAGAAATTGGCACACTTGCGTGTAATGTGTGTAATATAATATAATGCGTCAATATTATTTATAATTCAACTGTAATAGTTTCGTTTGAATTCTGTAATATATATTTTATACTCCAATAAACAATTTCATGTTCATTTCAAAATCGGTCGCTTGTTTGAGTTGTTCAATTTTTTCGTTTATAAAAAAAAATGGTAATAATATACATAAATATAATATGATCTGTTTACATATGAAATTATATATATATAAACTTGTATTTGTACGCAATTAAACCTTTTTATTTACAGGCAATGTATAACGGGTCTTCGATTTTGGCAAATAAACATGTAGTATTGTAGTAATCAAATCATTGGAGTTGAAAAATGGCATACAAGTTTATAAGTATTTATGGGAATTTATAAAAAAAAGAAATAGAGAATAGCTGTTAAACTGAAGTTTACAAAAAAAGGTGAAATATATAAATTATGAAGTAAAGCAAAGAAAACTGTTAAACGAAAAGTATTAGTAGCGAGATTCAATAAGATTGCAAGTCATATACAAATTGTAATAAATTTAATTTTATATTAGTGTCATTAATTAAATAATTCATTTGTGAATTCTTTTTTTGAGAATATGAATATTTAAATAAATGTTGTAAACTATATTTATAAGCACCAACTTGTTTTTAGCTTTTAATTTTTATTTTTTATTCATATAAATTCATAACAATAACTTTTTTTTTAATAATTTCTTGAAAGGATTTTTTAATCGTACTTGGATTCCGCGTGGAAGCATTTAAAGAAGTTTTAGGTCACCGTTTCGAGTTAAAACTCCACAAATTAAAAAAAAAAACATAAATAATTAAATAATCAATTCAAAGACAATATGCAGCTTTTTGCGATATATTTCGCTTGCGTTACAAATATTTGCTATATAAATGTATTTCTATGTATTTACATTATGAAAACAATACAAAAAAAAATATTTTTAATTTTTGGAAAATGAAAAATAGAATTTAAAGATTATATAGAAAATCATATTCGAGATAGTAATCGAAATCAACAGTACACAACTGAAAAGTTTAATACAAGTTTCATCATAATTTTTTTAATTTACCTCAAATTATATAACTAAAATTACATACTAATTTTTGAGCCACCCATCATGAACAATTCATAATCAACATTAAATAAGCGTTAAAATGCATGCAAATTACAAAACTACCAATATTACGAGTATATTATAACAGTAACGAAAATTGTTGTTTTGAAAATGTTTTGCAAATTTCCGAAAAAAAACGAAAATTAAAAAAAAAAAACGTTGTGTGTTAAAAAAATTTAATGGCATCAAAATAGCTATATTATAAATAAAGTAAACTAAGTAAACTGTGTATGAAAATTTTCAGCAAGCTTACGCCTGAACATTTAAATACAGAAATCATTTTCATTCAAAAACTCACATTGTATATAAATAAATAGTTTTAGTAAGTTTAATGCATACATATGCACAGCTGAAAAGTTTCCTAAATGGAAATATAAATAAATAATATAATATGTAATCTAAATGTTAACTGTTGCATGTATCTCATATACTCGTATATACATTTACACACCTCAACCAAAAGTATATACACTAATACACTAATATTTATAAACACAAAAGTATTAATAACTGCAGTAAGTCATTATAAGTGTTGTTATCAATATATATTCATAATTTATAAGTAATAATTATTTTCAACATTAACACACACACAAATCTATAAAGGTGTACATAAGCGGTGACATACATGCATATAAACCATATACTTATATATTGCTTATGGCAACAAAATCTATTGACCTACTGTTTAAAATTATCTACAATACTAATAAAAATTAGTGGGTTATGAATGTGTATACATTAAAATATAAGTACTTATTTAAGCAGGAAAAATAAAAATTGTTGTTCTTATAATTTTACCACTTCTTAAAAATCAGTTGGATTTTATTTTCATATAATTTAATTTGATTTTAATTTTGATGTTTTTTTATTTAATTTTTTTTGTTACATTAAATTTCATTTTATTGTACTTTACGTTGTTTTATTTCAATTTGGTTAGTTTATTTAAATTGTTTTAAATTGAACTTATTTCTATTTTTTCATTTTATTTCCTATCTTCAATTTAATAGATTACATGATTTTTGCATAAAATTGAATGATCTTATTTTTTCTTTTCATATCCAGCCTTATTCAAACGGTTTTTTGTGCAATCTTTAGCTCTTGGGCAATTGAAAGTGGGCTCACATGACGGTCGAACTCAACAATGTCCATGATTTTATAGACAATTGTCGAAATTGCCCTTCTACTCCGTGAGTCAACTTTTTTTTTTCTTCATAAAAAAATTACCGAATCAAACCGAAATTGTGTATGATTGATTGCAACAGTATCAGGACCATAAACGCAATTCATATTTTCAGCCATCTGGTTGGCGTTTACCCCCTTATCGAAGAAAAATTGTGTCCATCTTTGACATGTGCTAAAACATAACTGAATCAACCAATCACAAAAATGTCAGTGAAGCAGTCAGTACGAAATGTCATCTTTCTAACGACATGTACAACGCGAGATACAGATAAATTACGCCGTCTATTGGAAAAATAATATATTTCTTTTCACTACACCTAATGTTTACTACTAATTTTTTTATTTTTATTTTTATTTTATTAAAATATAAATATAATTAACTTTATTTTTTTATTCTGCCTTATTTAATTTTATTTTATTTTATTTTACTACATATTATTTTATTTCTTTTTAATTTATTATATTTGATTTTAATGTAACATATTTATACTTATAAACTCTATTTTATTTTAACTTTTGTTTGATTTATTTTATTTAATATTTTTTATTTTATTTTATTGTACAATATTTAATTTAAATTTATTTTATTTTATTTTATATTGTATCACTCCTCTTTTTAAATAGATTTAAACACTATTTTATTTTTACTTTTGCTTGATTAATTTTTTATAAAATTTTTAATTTTATTTTATCTTTTATTGCTTTATTTTATTTCATTTTATTTTTATTATATATGGTTTTTATTTTAATTTTATTTTGTATAATTTATTTTATTATGACTTATTATTTTTTTTTATTTTTTAGTTTAATTTACTAATTTATTTAATTTAATATATTTTATTTTATTATATTGCGATATTTTATTTTAATTAATTAGATTTAATCAAATTATTTAAATTAAAAAAATAAATTAATTTTATTGTTATTAATTCTTTGTTTTATTTCCCCGTGCTTTATTTTATTTTCCTTCATTTTATTATGTTTTATTTAATTGTTTTTATTTTTTTATTTTATTGTATTTTTATTATTTTAATTTTATTTGATCGTATAGTGTTTTATTTCGTTTATTTTGTTTGCTTTTTATATTATTTTATTTTTTTCTATTGTTATATTTTATTTTAAAGAATTAGATTTAATTTCTATGTTGTTGTGTATTACTTAATTTTATTTTATTTTATTCCATTACTTTTATTATTTTAATTTTGTGTTATTATATTGTATTTTAATTTAATTTTTGAAATTTGCTTTATATTATTTTATTTTATATCATTTAATTTTATTGTACTTAATTTTTTTTCACTGTGTTTTATTTTATTTTACTTCATTTTGTTATTTTTTATTCGTTTTTTTTTGTTTTATTCTTTTATATATTTATTATTTTAATTTTATTTTATCGTACAATATTTTATTTTGATTTATTTCGTTTTGTTTTAAATTTTTTATTTTATTTTAGTTGGGTTTATTCTATTGTTATATATTATTATATATTACTTTAATTATTTAGATTTAATTTTTGATAATGCTTTATTTTATTTTATTTAAGATTATTTAATTTTATATTATTCTATTTATTCAATAAATTTTTTTATTTAATTTATTTTTTTATTTCACATTTTATTTATTTTTTATGTTGATAAATTTATTTATGTTAATTTTTTTATTTTAATTTATATAATTATTATTTTATTTTTATTAAATTTTTGTTCATATTAATATATTTGCATATAATTAATTTATTTTATTTTTTCTTTTAAGAAATTATGTAATTACTGCCAGTAAAATAAGTTGCATATCACTCTGTGTCATTTAATTTCACTGTTTCTGTGGTTTTTTGATTGTAAATACATTGATTTTTTGGTATTGTTGAGTGTACTTCTACCGATTGTCTATCATATATGATTTAAGCACACCAACACTTATACACACATATACATTTATACATATATACATGTGCTTATGATCAATTAAACTATGTACATACATAATAAGGAGAAATTTGAATTTTGTAATCGTTATAATAAAATGCATGCATACAAATATACATGAGTATGTATGTACATACATATATCAAAAATATGTTGCTTTAAAATTCACTACAGAACCAAAGAATACTAGAATTTGTTAAATATATATAATGATATACAAATATTTATATTTAAATAAATGCAATATTCACATTGGAGTCAATACAATATCTGAAGATCTCAAAACTTTCGATTTGCATACTTAAATACATGTAAACATACATACATACACTCAACATATATAAAGCTTTTCACCTTACGCTCAAAAGATTACATGTCCGTGTGTATCAATGTACGAGAACGAGTTAGTAATATTATCTACATACATATTCATACATAAACATATATGTTATATATTGAACTTTCCTATATGTTATGTCTTCGGATGCATTCAACTTTAATGCCTTTGCAAGAAGTTATATGAATCTTCTTCAACTTGTTAATCTATAAAACACAAAATTACTAAATACTAAATAAAATATTACCATATAACAAAAACAAAAACTTATTTAAGCAAATTAGCCAGATGTTGAGTTGTTTCTATTCTATAGCGCATTCTAAATACTTAAATATATACTATATAAATTCTTGAAAATATTTATATTAGTGAAAATATTATTATATTAGCAATACATACATATAAATTGATATGCGTTAATGAAAACGGCAGCGTTATCATAATGAAAAAAAAAAAATAAAATAAAATAAGAAGTTTACCATTTTCCACAAATATAAACAAAATTGACAAGATTATGGGTAAACGCCTATAAATATGCAACGCAAATGC